TAATTAAAGATTAGATTTTTCCACTGTTGGAGTGCATATAAAGAAACCGATGCAAACTTTTTTTCGTCATATCAAGACGAGTAAAATGACATAAAATTATATGAAAAATAAATAAACTAGCGGGAGTACATAGGTTTGGAAGAGGGATCTCTTTCGTTTTTCAAGGCTTTTTATATTGGCTGTGTAGACCCCTTGAGACATCCTATAAGAACAGCCTCAAAACGGTACTACTAGATGTAGATTTTCACGCTGAATCTAACTAACATGTTTTCAAATCGCTTACGCGATAAAATTTGAGTAGAAACAACCTAAACTTTTGAAAATTCATGATTTTTCACTATTTCTAAATAATAGTGTTTTTTTAAATTTTAACCCTAATAAAACAACCAGGAAATTTTTATTATAGTGTTTCTTGTAGAGCTCATCAAGCTCTACAAAATCATATAAAATTTTGCCAAAAACAAATTTTGTGCGATTTTTGAATTACTCGCACCTTATATATAATCCGAAACATTACTGTTTATAATCGAAAAAAAATGGTACAACAAAATGGTAAAATTGACGATATTGATGATCATTAACGGAAAGATAATACTTTGTGGCGAAAAAAAACCATGATGCCAACAAATTTTTCGAATGAATTTTTTCATCATAGGTCTTAGGTAAGTGAGATCTTTAATTACAGGATGTTTCAGCTTGGTTGCTAATGGTCACCGTATAAAGTGGGAGATTTCTGGTGGAACTACCCAGCGATAAAAATAAGATACTCTACTTGAAATGGAACCCTTTGAAATGTACAAGCATTTTCATAAATATCAAGATGATACTAATTCAATGTACCTTCTCTGCATTAACTATTTGAGCTACTTTTTCTGGTGGTAGAATAGACTTCCCAGTTTTTAGTGCTAAACGAAAAGTTTATAAATGCTGCTCTGAACTATTACCATTAGTTTTAATAAAGAAATGAAACCATTGCCAATTTATAAAAAGCATTTTCGACCAAGAATCTCCATATTGTTAAAGAGTTGTACGCCTATATTTTATCAAATGTTAACTGTGATAGCTCTGAAAATTTTTGTAAAATTTTTGTACACAAATAAAAAATTAGAGCTCTCGTCTGGCACCCGAAAAGAATGGCAACAATGGTTAATGCAGAGTAGACACACTGAAATCTTATCATATTGATATTTTTGGTACGCCTTGCACGATGGACTCATCTACCTTGAAAGAAAAAAGTTTTCATTATTGTACATTTTCTGGAAAGTTCTTTAAGATTCCTCCTAGAACCCTTTTTGCTTTTTGCGCTTGCAAATCCTGTTTTAATCGATGAAAGTCACCAGTTTGATACTCAAAAGAGATTAGATTTACCACACAAGTGTTCAGTATCGTTTGAAAATCTTTAATGATTTTATTCTAAGGACCTGCCTTCTCTGAAAGATCAATATTTAGAAGCTACTCTTTTTGAACGGCTAGTGATACGTAACGTGTATCGCAAAACCGATTCACTGAACCATAGACTGACGAAATGCACACATGCAAATAAATGAACAAGCGACAAAGTGGGCTGTTTCTGCTACAGATCCTGAAATGTTCGAAGATATGACTGAATAAGTTCCAGTAAGATGAGAAAGGCAGAGGGCGAGTAATTGACAGTGGAGTGCGGATGAGACGAAAATGAGCGATTTTGAAGAGCAATAACTAAAAAACGCATCCAAAGTGAACGTGAAACATATGCTGAGCAGTACTCGAACCACGATTTCAGTTCTGGTCAGGGGAAGCTCTCAGCTTCCTAACTAATAGAATACATTGTTGGTGATTCTCGTCAGGGGGCTTAACTATCTTTCAGAGGGTCAAGCGTTTGAGTCTCACCTAAATAATTGATCACGCGATTCAGAAATTTCGCCATCAGGCGATCAAATTTCTTAATGGTAGCTCCGCTTGCCCGTGCATGTGCTCCCTTATTAGAAATGACTACTCTGTGTGTCCTTCAGTGAATCTACCGACAATATATGCCATAGGCATGGTCATTTGTGCCAAGCTCACAGTTACTAAAGTTGACAGACAGACAGAAACAGAACAGTTAATGTTTCTGGACTCTATCCTTTTAGCCTAGGGAATATGTAAAATGACATTGCCATAAAGGCTGTCCAAATAAATGATTTCATTTACTGAAATCGCGTTGGTTTCCGCTCTAGCTGAACAAACTATTCAACTCTTAAGAACTCATCTTGAATTCCCTATCTGCAGATGATGCATAGTAAGTAACTGTTTGTAGTGCAATCAAGCAACAGTGTCAGTACTAGCGCAAGTTCAAGTACCAGTACGGCTACCAGCACCAGCACCAGCACCAGCACCAGCACCAGCACGACTACCAGCCCCATCAACAGTACTACCAACAGTACTAGCACAAGTCCAAGTACCAGCACGAGCATCAGAACAAGCACTAGCAGTGCGGCTAACACTTCAAGTAAAATTCGTTTCTAAATACTTTCGTAACAACGCATATTCTGATCCTCCAAGTTTTTTCTACCCTATCAGTTCCCTAACAACTTGCCATACTATTTTCTCCTTGAGGGTGTTGGTGTGGATGGTGTATGGAGCTGATCTCCTCCATACTCACACTATCATCCCGTATAAAATACAAGTTCACAAAGCCAAAATAATCATCACCTATAACAATATGGCTGAATCGACGCGGTATTCGGCAATGGCTGATTGAAAACTCGTGGAGTGACTACGAATTTTTGATATACTCTTATAGGACATATAATCCTAAATCAAATGAGCCCATTTTCAACTAATCTTAATCAGATATTCATGAACTTCTAGGTCCAAAAAATATTTTTACAGTTTCTTATTATTCGATAAATTTTAAAAAAGAAGATGATATTCGAAATCAGCACTCTGAACTCTATCGAACTATAAAGAGTTCTATTAGAACGCAGATAAAAAAGATTTTTCGACACCCGATGGATCTCACGTGCAAAAAATTGGCTTTCGATAAAATACAAAATAAATTTGTGAAAAATAATCAGTGATACTTGCTGATTATTAGGATAAAATAAATTAGGTTAAAATTTTGTGGGATGTATAAGCAGCAAATTAACACCTCCTTTGAAGGGGCGAGAGATAGTAAGAAGAAGTGTCTAGAAGTACAGAAATAGAGAAGTCTGCATTTTCTCCCTTTTTTGAGTTTTGCTCGTAGACAGTTAGATAGGGAAAAAATTGCCAACAAATCTCACGAAGACAAAGTTTTTCAATTGCGCGAATTCATATTTGCATTGGTTTCATTAAATATAGCTAGCAAACGTACAGAGAATTAGGATATGAATTTAATTCTCTTTGAAAAAACTGCCTATAATGGATACACTTAAAATGCTAGCTTGATGAACATTTTACTATTTCTGTTCTATCGTAAATTAATTGCATGACTCATACATCTCTTTATCAGGTTTACCATTTTCATTTTCATTTGCTTAATTCTATTGAAAAAAATGAGCACTTCGTTACGTTTGAAGCATCATATAATGATAAGTATTGCATGAAATTTCCCGGCGTGCAAAATATTTAATATATCAAGCAAATAAAAGTGAATTATTTACTTACTATATGCTGTTGTAGGACAGATTGAAATCCAGTTCAGTTTTAAATCGAACTACGACAAATGGAAAGTTCAATTTTTCCTAGCTGAGATCAAGATTTTGAAATGAACTAGCTGATATTGAAGTGCATTGCGAAGTGAACTAGTTCACTTCAAAATTTTCATCTTAACTCGAAAAAATAAGAATTTCGATCTGTCCTAGTTCGATTTAAAACTGAGCTGGATTTCAATCATTCGTACAACATGCATACATATGTAAAAGTGTTTCAGAAAAAGTTTGGGCCAAACGAAATGTTTTTTTAAACACCTTTTTGTCTTTAGAAGTACTTACAGAAATAATTTTTCCTCAATATTAAGCGTTGGTTTATCGATGATTAATGACCTAGAAAAATTAAGTTTGTAACTACTCTTAAGGACAAGAAAAATATTCTAATTGGATTTATTTTCTGCAAGTGTTTTTCCAAACACCAGTATATACATTAGGGGTATAACAGTTCTCAGATCTAAGTTCAGACCATTAGAACTGTTCAACCAGATCTTTATATCTGATCTGAACTGGTCAACCAGATCTTTATATCTGATCTGAACTGGTCAAACAGATCCGATCAGCTCTAAGAACTGTTAGGATCTACGTTGGGCTGATGTCTATATCGATATAGGCGTCTCTTATGGGATCTGATCTGATCTACTCGAACTGTCCGAACAGTTCTAAGGATCTGAACTGATCTGCTCAAACTATTCAGATCAGATCTAAGGAACTGTCTGAACAGTTCTTTTGATAGGAACTGAAACTGAAATGTCATACCCCTAATATACATACGATGGTAAGACAAAGGATGTGTTGCATTAAGGCCACTTTTCATCCCAAAGTATTTCCAAAAAAAATCGGATGGGGATAGCAAGGTCCATATAAAATATTAGTCAAGCCTGATCATTTTCCTTGAAATAACTTTCAGGTTTTCAACCCTATATCCTCTCAGAATTTCGAGAAACGTTTTGTCGAAATTGAATTTTCAAAAGTAACTAGGTATCTTGAATGGGCGATGCTGATCACGAATATCGCTATTCCAAGTCCTAAGTGCTGCACCCTAAGACAATATTGACCTATACCATGTTTTTAGGATTCAAGCCAGAGTTTAGGCTCTCCGTTATCGTAGAATATCCTCTGAGAAATCTATGAAAGCGTCTTCTTCGTGCAAATTTGAGAGCTCCATGCGGTGCGAAGTGTGCGTGTAGCTGTATCTGGAGCTGTGTATGGAGTTGTCGGCATCCATTAAGACAACTCCTGACAGATCCACATTCACCCGCACTCCACACATAACATCCATAGTCGCACCCAACAAAATTTTAGATTAGTATATTGGCACAATTCATTCTAGTATGGTCAAATAGCAGTAATATGAATACTGCGCGCTATACTCACACCGCATCCATACTAACTAATGGAAAAGTCTTAGTTGCTGGTGGCTATACTATTTCTGGCGGGTGTTCCAATAGTACAGAATTGTACGATCCATCAACAGGTGTTTGGACAAATACTGGCAGCATGATTTTTGCAAGATTCTTTCACACAGCATCCATACTAAGCAATGGAGAAGTTTTAGTTGCTGGTGGCTCTCTTAGTCTTACCTATTATTCTACTAGCTTTTTGGACCGTGCCGAATTATACGATCCCTTAACAGGTGTTTGGACAAATACTGGCAGGATGAGTTATGCACGAATATATCACACATCATCCGTATTAGCCTATGGAAAAGTATTGGTTGCTGGTGGTTTTAACTTCTTTGGCTGTTTGATTAGTGCAGAATTGTATGAACCATCAACAGGTGTTTGGACAAATACTGGCATCATGAGTGTTGCACGATTGTTTCACACAGCATCCATACTAACAAATGGAAAAGTCTTGGTTACTGGTGGCATG